AGGATGAGTGATTCGGGCATGGAGAGCAGTCTGTCTTAGGAGTTGGGACTTGTTCTTGTTTTTAATTAGGACCCACGCAACTGAGAAAAGCTGTGCAGATCAAGTTCCCTGCCCACCTCCCACACAATCGTTTCCTGGTCTGATTTCTGGTGTCCCGATGGATCCTTAGGTAGGGCTGATGCATGTGCAGCATCTCAGACCTCAGTTCTGCTCTCAGTTCAGGCTGAAAGTGAACCTGGATGGTGGCAGCTGAGGAGCTCGCTGGGTTTGCTGCCTGTCTCTGACCCCAGGACAGGGGGAATGGAAGAGTGTCGAGAAGGGCTGGCACCCTAGCAAAGATGCGTGAAGGATGCATGCCTGTGAATGAGATCTAAAGGACGGAGAAGATGCCTGGTGTGGCTGGAAGAAGCAGCATGGATGGGAAGAGCAGATGGGTGGAAACAGCAGACAGGAGAGAGGCGGTGACACACACGGGCTGCTGCTGGCCGCGGGAGCTCCTGCTCCCTGGGTTTCCAAGCACTGCATTCTTGGTGACAGGAGGAACATGTTCCTTATTTTTTCCCCTAAAATGTGGAAAAAGCACATTCATCCTTCAAATTGCAAATTGTTGCCAATAGGCAAAGAAAAATACTTTTCCAAAATCTGCAAGCAGGAATCGCTTTTAAAATACAGCTCCCGAGGCCCTCAGATGACCCTCAAGATGCTAACCATTTCCCAAAACCTTCCCTACTGGACTTCTGGCCTCACAGAGGTGCACCCCTTTGCCTCCAGGCCAGGCTTTCCTGGCGGCTCCTCTTAAGCCCCTCTCAGAGGCCTGGAAGTCTAAGCACAGCAAATTCCCTTCCGTGGGCTGTGTCCAGAGTCTATGCACTGCAGAGACTGTGAGCAGGAGCTGCACCGGCAGAAGTTGAAGACCGGCCCCCCCAAATAGTAATGCTCTATGGGAAAGAGACTTTTCAAACCTTTGGGAGCTCAGTGTAGTTCCAGCTGCCTAGTGCAGAGCCCTTCGGAGTCTAAACAGCCTCCTCCGTGATTGCCGTGCCAGCACATATAAAAGGGACTCGGAAGGTGTGAAAGTCATTAACCGGGAGGAATAGGAAGCAATCAGCAACACTTTGAGCAAATTATTGCCATGAAATTACGCTCCCAGCTTGAGATAAGTGTCCTGGACCCGTGAAAGCCATATACACCTCCCTGGCTGAGCTGCCACTGCGAAGGAAAGTTTTCTTCTTTGGTTTATTTATGAAGTGCTAGATAGGGACTGGGGGAATACATGTGGGAAGAGGGGGCTCTCTGCTGCCTCTGGGCAGGAGAGCTTTTTGGCTCCTTGACTGGCAAGGAGCTATTTGGGGTGCAATGGAAACCTATGGGGCTGACAGGCAGTTTTGAGTGAAAAGCCTGACTCTTTCCTGAATTAGGAGGCAGGCAAAGTGCGGGCGCTGGCGGCTGCAGCTCGCTCGGCACATTTCGAGCTGCTCAGCCATTGGCCTGCTGGAAAAGCCTGCACTTACCTGCCCAAGAGTCTTGGGCCTCCCTGTGTGGGCTCCACCATGTTCTAAGCTTTCTGAGAGACCTGGCCTCTCCCCTGGAGCTGACCTTTCAGAGTGCTTGCTGCTCCCAGGACTCAGTGGTTGCTATTGGCTTCTTCCCTCACCCAGCCCTGGAGAGCTCCAGGTCTTGGGTCTCAGGCCCAGCTTGTCCAGCCTCCTCCCCACCTCTGCATGGGCATTGTGTTTGTGGGCACTTGGAGCACATGGCGAGTAGCCGCCTCTGCAGCACGATGGCCATTTCTGGGCCTTGCATCTGACCCCAGTGGGCTCCACTGCGCTGTTGGTCCTCCAGGAATTGGGCTGGCATTCTGGTGCCCTCAATATGCTGATGGGCAGCTACCCAAGTCCCTCTCTGCAATGCTTAGCTCTCCTCCATTGTAAGAATTTCCTGAGTGCATCACGCCACTTAACAGCCAGCCCGGAGGTCGTACTAATCCTCTTATCACTTTCTCTTTTTTCCTTCTTGTGTTAATCAAGAGAAAATGTGTAAGGAAATAAGGCTTTGATCTGGGTGTATATTTTAAGACTGAAGTCGACTCTTGGATGACATCCTTTGTCAAGGAGCAGAGACGGAATTGAGTATGCCCAGAACCCAGTAAACTCAGACATAGGCAAAAAGGAAGACACCCTAAAGGTACAAGGAATAAAGTTAAAAGATCCTGACCTCATGGCACTGGAGGCCTTTATGATTCATACTCTCTAAAGTCTTAGAATTATCAAACACTCATGCTGAGAGGGAATGTTGAATGTATTTATTGTGCATAATTTCACAGTGAAGACAATAATACTGTCTACACATGCTGGAGATGCTCTCAGTTAGTTTCTCAATACTTCTAGAATCTTACAAAATTCTGTTTCAGAGATAACAGCACCAACCCTTTCTACATCCATGCTTTGCCCTCTAGAGATGTGTGAAAAATTACTAATGCAGTCTATGAGTTGAATGTGACGCAGACAGACAAATGCTGTTACGTGATACAGCCCCTTGCTCCAGACGAGGCCTTGCTGCTTCTTCGATTGCTGCATTAGATGGCAAGGTTTCAGGTGACTCTCATTTTGGTGGCTATTTTGGACTTCTTTTTAAACTTTGGTTCCCATGCGTGATGATGGTGACACTGAAGGTATTCCACTGCTTGAGGGAGATTTGCAGAATCTAAAAGGACATCGCTAGGAATCCACTCTTTATTGGAGAAAAAAAACAGAGCGTAACAACAGAACTAAAATAAGCAGCTACATTGTAGCCAAAAGTTGGCAGGTATGCAGAGCCTGGGCCAGCTTCACCTTGCCCTATGTCATTCTAGTCTTGCTTTCTCAACTAGATTCATGTGCAGATAACATCTCGGAACCAGTGCACCCCAGATGGATTCATGGCTGGGGATTCTGATCCCTTCCTGGTCATGTAGGCTTGTAACCAGATCCGACGGCACAGCTGTCTGGGGAACTCACCCAGACCAGGTACAGATCATCAGTCTCACTCATTCTTACTAATAAACAATGCTGACAAGTTGGAAAAGCACCTTGAAACTTGTCTCCAACTCATGGTTACAAAACAACTCTGTTAGTCAGCACATTTCATGCCTTGACCAGGGGGCAGAACCACCCAGATCCATCTCTTATGTCAGCAGAACAGCTCAGGCCAGAGCCAGACTTGGACTTAATTCTCAGATGCGATCTGACTTAACTCAGAATCCTGAAAGATGATGTGATTTCAGACCACGACTTATCTATGTCTTATCTTGACTCTAACCCCATCTGGACCCTGCCTTGTACTCTCCTTGAGGCCCACTAGTTCATTGTTTATCCTGGAGTCTTTTTGCAAGTTCCTAATGACCCAGGGCATTCTCGATATTTCCATCTCCTCAGGTTCCTGCTGAGAGGAACCTTTTCTCCCAGTTAGGGATCATAACAGACTGCTCTCTTCCCAGTCCTTATGGGCAAGCCTTCTGGAGTGGTCACCCAAGCATCACTACTTCCCCGTGAGCTCTGTGCTGTGGAATACCTAGCTGTCGCCTTGGGGCTTTCTGCTCATAACCATTGTCGTACTCATTCTCTGTTGCTGTAACAGAAAACTCCAGACTGAGTCATTTATAAAGAAGAGGTTTACTACCTCAGTGTTCTACACAACAACATGGCAGAGTGTTGGTGTAGCTTCTGCAGCGGCCTCCTGGCGCATCCTAATAGGGAAGGCCTATTAGGGAAGACCACAAGGAAATTGGGGGCAGCTATGCTTTATCACAATTTGCTTTCTCAGCACCTAACCCGGTGTTCTGCCAGTGAGAACACTTGTATTCCTGTGAGAATTAACCCAGTCCCTAGAGGCCAGCATTCGTCCCTTTATGGTCTGGGTTTCACATGACCCGAATGCCTCTGAAAACCCCACCTCCTCTGAATGCCATTACATCAGAAATCACATTTCAAATTCTGGCGATGATTCATATTTAACCACAGCATCAACTAAACTCAAGGTACCTCCCTGGTACTGTGAATTCGATTCAAGAATTCTTATTAAAGGACCCCAGCCTGCCTCATGTCTGAGCAAGCCTAGATTAAAATATTTCAGACAAGAATGATTTTTCAGAAAACAAAACAAAACACGAATGAAACTTGCAATCCAGCTGCAAAACAATCTTAGAGTTTTTAGAATGAGAAGAAAACCAAGAGATCAGTTAGCCTGGTGGTTTTATTTTTTAAGCATTTGAGTACTTTACTTTTCAAGATGGAATATTACATAGGAAGTTAGTAAAAGTGGATCTGCTAAGGATGGAGGGGAAGGGAAGAATTCGACTTGGACACTGTCAGCCATTTGGGGTCTGTTTGGCTTTCCGGTTCCTGTGAGGACTGCTAAGGGACCCCTGGAGCAGACTTTGAGAACCGCTGGTCTACCCTAGTGGCTTTGCTTCAAAGTGAACTTGAGGACCACAGACTTTAGGGATTTCCAGACCCCAGCCATATGGTGAGTTTATGGGTCACACTCACCCCTCGTAGGGCTTAGCAAAGTGGAAACACGAGGTTGTCAAGTGACTAAATCCTTGTGTGTTCTTTCTTTCCATTTTATTCAATTCAGATCCACTTGCAATTTTGCACCCATACTGCACTCCAGACCCTATGGTGTTACAGGAAGCGGAGGGACTAAGACTCCAGACTGCCTTCTCGGGGGTTTAAGCATCAGGTAGGGTGAGGAGGGCGGTACATTCACCACTGTGAAGCAAAAACGGAAAAGTAGTGTAATAAAAATAGATACATAGAGGTTTTGAAAAGGAGGTATTAGTCAAGGGTTCTCCAGAGAATAAAGAAGTGTGTGTGTGTGTGTGTGTGTGTGTGTGTGTGGAGAGAGAGAGAGAGAGAGAGAGAGAGAGAGAGAGAGAGAGAGAGAGAGAATGGCAAATCTGAATTCTACAAGGAGGCCAGGGAAGAGCTGCTGTTGCCCTTGGAGTCCAGAGGAAACCTGGGGCCCCTTCTCTCCCTCAGAGGATGCCGATCTCTTCTCTGAGCTCTTCCACTGATTGAATAAGGTCCAAGCATGTTATGGAGGGTCATTGCTTTACTCAGAAGCTGCTGATCTGAATGTTAACCGCCTTTGAAACTCACTTTGGTGAACACATTTTGACTGACTTTTTGGGCACATAGGTAGGTACCATGGCCTAACCAAGTTGACACACATGACTAACCACTGCAATGTAGAGAATTAAGCTTTGAGGGTAACACTAGAAAATCTTGATAGACAATAAGATGTGAGGATTAGGGGGTTAGAAGTGTGCACATTTGAGAAAATAAGAGGGTTGTGAAACTAATGCTAAATTGGCAACGAAGTATTAATTTAGGCAGCAAATGGACATGATCCTTGTTAAGACTGATGCACTGTATTAACTTGAGAAGTTTGGAAGTTTAAGAAGTTCAGTAGGGGGCCAGGAGCCTTACACATCCTCATCCTATGCAAGAGGAAGGCACAGAGATTTTGTGAGAGCTATATCTGCCCTGGGGGGAAGCGACTTGGGTGCGGTGGTGGTGGTGGTGACCTACATACTTTATAAAGGAGGCGGCCAGGAAGCAAAGCAGGGGAGCAGTACCCGCTTTTTTGCTCTGGCTACTTTTGCTGACTGCTACGTTAAAGTGTTGGCCCTTGTGCCATGCCACCCTCCCTTGGAGTTAGCTGATTATATACTGAAACCTCCACAAACTGTGAGCCAAATAAACCTTTTTTTTCCGTTCATTTTAGATGTTGAGTGTTTTGCCCCAGCAGCAAGAGAAAAGTAACGAAGACAATCCTGCTTCGCGGACTAAGACCAACTCTACACAAAACAGTCAGACACCACTGCACTCAGGCAAGGGCTACAAGTTGAGTGATTCTGATGAATTCTATCTTCCCCTCCCCCTGCCCCCTCCCTGGTTAAGGTACACATGGGACTCCTAGTTTTACCCCTAGAAATCATGCTGATCTGTCACAAGTTCTTCCTTTGTGTGGAGCCTCACTGGCAAACTGCTGCATGAAGAAGAGGTAAGAGCCCATGTGCTATGTACTTATGCCTTATTAAAAATTGTACATAGTCTTACCAGTTTTCCTGAGATGCCAAAACAATTTTCTTCCAAATACAGGTACCTCCTAATTTTATCGCATACAAACTTAAGGGGTGGAAATACTCCTCACGTCTTACAGGTGAATAATTCATTTTTGTGCCTTTAAAAAACATGCTTTTGTGAAATTGTCTTAGATTTTCATTTCCAATGCTTATATATGCAGATATATATGTACTTATATATATACATATATGTAGGTCAACACTACCACCACATATATATCCATACATATATATGCATATATATACATACATGTATATATACATATATATGCATAGATAGATACATAGATATAGATACAGATAGAGAACATTTCCAATGACCAGAGAATTATAAGAATTTAGTAGCAGTAATAACACTTTAATTTTCTGGGTAGTGACTAAAGAAGGTAAGTCTCTTGGATTCAATATTTGTATCTTCCCAAAATGTATTATGTTGAAATCCTAACACTTAGTATTATGATGTTTGGATGTAAGGCCTTTGAGCAATAATTGGTCTAAGATGTGGTCACATGGTGGGGCCTCCAGGCTGGGACTAAATTTTTATGGACTGAAACCTCCACAAACTATGAGCTAAATAAACCTTTTTTTCCTTTATTTTAGGTGTCAGGTGTTTTGCCCCAGCAACAAGAGAAAAGTAACCGAGACAATTCAGCTGCACAGAAGAACAAGAAGAGACACTCTTTCTCCATCAGATGAAACCATAACTAGAAGGCTGCTGTCTGTGAGGCCAAGGAGAGAGCTCTCAGCAGAAACTGAATCCACTGGCACCTTGATCTTGGTTTTCCCAGCCCTAGAAATAAATGTCTGTTGTGTAAGCCACAAAGCCTACAATAGTTTCTCAGATAATACCATAGACTAAGGCAAGATTGTAAGCTAGATGCTTCTTAAAGTCATATATATGTATATACTTATACATATCTTTATATACATATTTATAAAAATATATATTTATATTGTACATTAAATATAAATTTATATATAAAAATATATATATTTCTCTAGAGGAACAAACAATAGAAGAATACATATAATTATGTGAGAGAGGCTTCACAGAGTTGGATGGTCCCCAGTGACCATCGGTACGTAGGGGAGCTCAGTCCTTTCTTGAAAGCAGCAGAGCAAGAGCAACCAAGGATGCAGCACCAGTCCGTGTGGAGGGCCTGGATGCTCCCTGAGAGTCACTGGTGGGAGTGACAGCGAGAGGCTGAAGCAGCGAAGTCCCATGTCCACAGGTGACAGTAGCAGTGGGAGGCTTACCTGCTCAAGGAGAATCAAGCTTTTTGCACAAGCCGGGTTCTCTTTCTTCCCCTTTTCATTCCATGTGGGCTGCAAGCCTATTGGACAGTGTCACCCACGATGAGGGTGGTCTTACTCCCTCAGTGTGCTGGCCTATGTGCCAATTGTGTCTGGAGATACCTGCACAGATACACCTGGAAGTGTGCTTCCCTGGCTCCCAGGTGTTTCTTAACCCAGGCAGGTTGACGATCAAGATTCACCATCAAAACATGTCACTCGTGTTTCTGAGACATCCTGTGCTCTAGCCCCTGGAGGAGGTCAGGGAAAAAAGGTGGAAAAGCAAAATGGACTTAGTTTTAAAGAGTCTGGTATGAGAAACTCATTACAATAGAAACAGGATCCCAGAACCTGGAGCACACCACAGAGAGGATGCATTAGTGTCCAGGTGTCTGGGATCAAATACCCGACACCCACAGCTCAGGGGCACAAATGGTTTACTTGCTTCGTAATTCCAGAGCATTCAGTGTTGGTTGGTTGGCTCCAAGGCAGAAGCAGGGAGGAGACAGGCTGGGCAAGGGAGCTGCTCACCTAGCGGTGGCCAGGAAGCAAAGCAGGGAACAGCACCAGAGAAGGGACAGGGCACCAGATTTACACACCAAGGTCAGGACTGTGTGACCTCCCGGAACCCACTGGGAGAACTGTCCACATTAACATCACGAATGATGTAACTCCTATCCTCAGAGAAGGGGAGAGAGCAGTCTGGAGTAACTTCCCAGAGGAGGAGGTGGTGCTAAGCGGAGTCTGGGAAGGCAAGTGTGATTTTCTCAGGAAAGGGCAGGACTTCTGGGGTACTGGAGCCAGCACAAGTACTGGCAGGCTGCGTGGGGCGCCTGCTATGCTGGCCAAACGCAGCCACTTCAGAGAGATGGGGAAGGGGTGCGGTGGTGAAAGGGAAGCAAGTGAGAACGAAGAGGAAGGTGAACAAGGGCGCCTGCTGGTCCTCGTTTCAGTCCCAGTACTTGTGCTTACGGAAGTAAGGTGCAGCGATATACACTAGTTAGTTTGCCTTTTAAGCTGAATTCTTCTGTAAGGGAGAAGTGGCTGAAACCTAAAAGAGCAAGTTCATGTCCTGTCTCCTTGGCTAGTGCCATGCCTCATTTTAGCTGGTTTAACCCAGAAATATGCCTGGGTCCTAAGATCTTGTACTTGCATAAAATTCCTTCCACCGTTTTTCTGAGTGAAATGGAGAGGTGGAGATGAATGCTGAGTAGCATTTGGTAGAAGCAGATTGTCACACGTTCAGGTATCAGACATATGTTTCTACAAATGAGCCACCTTAAATAGCTACTGTAACAGTTAAACCACGGTATACAGTTCATTACATACAAAGAAAATATTCTCTATTACTGCACTAATGATTTCTCTGCAAGGGGAAATGGCCATGTTGGTTTGAACCTACTTGAATATAAATAGAGTGTTGAATGCTTTTAACATTTTAAAGCACATGTACTGCAATGAAATAAGAGTTGGAAGTGTTCCTAAGAACCCATTCTGTCATTATTTAAACACATCCTCATCTAAGTGAAGTAGGAATTTATTTTTACTGACTACAGAGAAATGGGTTCTACCACTTTCATAAGTTACAAGCTTTTCTTGCCTTTCACCTAGCAATGTATGCCAGTGCCTAAGTCTCTGTCTTCTGTTTATTGGGCCCTCATGGAGACTGAAAATATTGACCCAGACCCTCACTGACATTGCCACATTTGTCTACCTATCAATTCCACCTTTCTCCTCTTCAGGATAAAGAGCACAAATTAGCAGTGACCAGTTGCTTAATTATGACGTTAACTTCCAAGTAGCTTTCTCTGACAGTGACATATGAGCTAATGTCTTTTTTTTAACATTGGAGAAATTGGGCCACAGGAGCAGGTCAACCTACAACTACAGTACTGCTGATCTCTTTGGAGAAAAAGTATGTATGTCTTCAGTTTTGCTAAGCACATGCCCCCCATGAGTCTCTCCTGAGAATCACTCTGTGAAATACATAGGTGTCCCTGGCTGGTTTCTCTATGTGGAAAGTTATAGCTTTTAGAAGTTAGGGAAGAAGAATAGCAGAGACAGACCGCACTGTTCTCGGTTAGTAGTAGTGTGTTTAAAGAACACTGCTGGGCCAATCTGCTATAGAATTGGTTGTTTTCAGTGAAACTTCTGTTTGTGGGGTCATGTTTCAGGGTTATGGAGGGAACTCTTTGAGCCAAACCACATATTCATATTTTAGTGTGAAGGAATTCTAAGTGGGAAAATTTCAAAATCAGTTTCTTAAAAGTTTTCTTGTGTTAGATATTTTCTTGGATCTAGGCAACAGAACTAGGAAATTCATTGAACACTCAGGAGTGTTATGGTTTAGATCTGAACTGTCCCCCCTCTGCAAACTCTCATGCATACAGAGCAGGACTTTTGGAAGGCGATTGGGTCATGGGTGCTGTGTCATCAATGACAAACACAGTAGCTGACCGGGCAGTTAGGAGAATGAGCCTGGTGGAAAGAGGTCGGTCACACTCTTCCTTTCTAGCACTTTCCTTCCCTCTCTGCTTCTCAGTTGCTTTAATGTGAGCAGCTTCATTCCTCTGACTGGCTCTTCCAGCACACAGCTTCTCCTTTGCAGCTGGAAAACCATGCATGGACTGCAACCTCTAGAACTGTGGGCCAAAACGAACCTTTTCCCTTACAAGTTGCAGGCATCTGTACTTTGTCCTAGTGAGCACACAGTGAATAAGCTAAGCCTCTCAAATATGCTTTAACCCGGCATGTGTCAAAGGCAGTGAGACCTGCAGAGTAAAAGCCAATGAAGGCACAACAAAGAACCCACCTTGGTTCAGCAAAGCCTTTTCCATCCCAAGTGTTTTGCTGTGGGGAAGTAGGACATGAATGAAAAGGGAAATTAGAGGCTGCCTGGCCTAATTCTAGCACTTCTACTATGCCCGCGGCTGCCCACTCTTTCTGGAAGGTGGTGTTTCTGATTCCTCTTCTTACCCATGACTCCAAAACAGTTTTGCTGTGGCTCATGCCCTGTTGTAGCAGTCAAGGTCAGAGCAGTTAGGGGCAGGGAGTGTATGCGTTTGGCATACGGGACAACCCCTAGGCTCTTGTTTCTGTGATCACTGAGAGAACAAGATGGCGGACCTGGCATTCCTTGCCATTGTATGTGTGTGGTGGGGGTGTGCATGGAATGAGCTGGAGGCTGGAGGGAGGGCAAAGAAGGGGTAGAGGAAGGAGACTCAGGGAGGAGGAGAAGGGGCTGGGAAATAAGCCCAGAGCTGGTATCTGGGGAAAGGAGAACCAATACCTCTTTTGTTGTCAGGAAAACCCTGGGCACAAAGGGTGAGTTTGAGTTTCACTTCAGGTCAGTTGAGGGCATTGTGAAAAGGCAGTTTTCAGACAGAAAGCTTAACTGACTGACTCTGAGGTAATTAAATCACTACATTAGGCTGCTGACCATGAAAGCAGAAAAACACAAGCACACAAAAAGAAGAAAACAAAAGCCTTACATTTGTATCTAATTATGTAATTAAAATATTTACTGTTCCATGTAATAATTATGTGGCTCACATTTGATTATGCTTGAGTTCTCCTAATTGGTTAAAAGTTTTATCCATTCTTCTTGTGGGACCAAATTTGGTTTCATTTAGTCATTTTTCATTCAGGCATCCAAGACTTCCATGCCATCTGACTTTGTTTTATTCTGGCTGGGGTTTTGGCAACTTCCGTGGTAATTTTCAATCTTATTTACTCTCATCAATGATGCCTATAATGACAGGCAGTTACCTGCGGAAAGGATTATTTCTTTGTCCTCCACTTATTTTCCCAATGTAAATTCTGTTTCGTAGACTGCACAGTACACACTGGGCATGGTTCCGGAACAGCTCTTCCACAGTGTGTCCCCAGCAGCCCGACAGAGGACTCAGCATTTTGTCACAACTACTTCATTTTCCTCCTTCAGTCTTGTGCTTCCTGCAGCTGTGTTTTGATTATTGAGGGACTGATTAAACACATTGCCAATTATCCTGGCACCTTGTTTCTTTTCCTCCCTACTTCCTATCTCTTTTTAATTTTTTACAATCTATTTGTCTTTTGCCATTTCACAGACTAATCCCAAGAGCCATCAGAATAAGTTTTAGGAAAGAAAAATGGTAGAGAGAAAAACACTCACATTGCTCTAGTTAATAGTGGTAGAGGAAAGTATATGTTTAGGACTAAAAGTTAGATTTTTACTATTAGTAAAATAGTATTTGCTAAAAAATTAGTAAAATAGTATTTTTACTATTTGCTTTCAAAAAACACAGTTTAGTGAAGGACAGGGGTTTTACAAGAGAAGGCCTAATAGTTGGTGGGCAGGAGGCAAGGATTGCTGGCTTTGAGTGAGCATTCCCTAAAATTGATGGTTTCTGGTGGAGCATCCCCAGGGAATAGGGCAGCTCCCTCTGAGAATGCAATTTACTACTGTACCCAAGCTCTTTCTCGTGGGGGCAACCCTGGAGCACTTCCTGCAGGTGAAATATCTTTGTCCAATCAGTGA